TATGGAGCCACTTCTGGGGCCCGAGTACATCATTTATGTAGTGGGGTTTCAATGTTGACACACTTCGACTCATTTTAACGTGTAAACTATGGGGGTTAGTTGTTAACAAATGCCGAATTAATATAAACTAGACTTACTTCATATATTCAAGCAACTTTCTAGCAGTTTATCTCAGACGAAACATTCATCTTATAATGCTAGATATATTTTGTGGGTTACCTTATGCTCCTCAGTATATTTCATGGAAGCCACCAAAATGGTCTTATACCACTCATTATATGTAGACATTTTAGGAGAGCATATCTTGAGACAAAACTTGATATTAACCCACATTGTGAAACTTCAAGTTCACTTAACTCCCATGGATCCATTTTTAAAATATTTGGGAGAATAGACTGTCTTATCATTTTCTTATCTAAGAAGTATTTACATACTGGATGTCTTATGCGACATTTGGTTTAAACCTGGGTTGACCTTAATTTGGTCATTTATTCAAAAATCTTAAACTTCATGCAACACATGTTTAAATTATTCAAGTATATATAGTATGGTGTGAGGAGAATTCTGCTACAGGCAGATATTATGGAAATACAATTTACACCCAATAAGTATGATATCACTTTTCAAATTATTACTTCGCAGTGTTTGAGTAGCTTCTTTAGCTTACACTCAATGCCTGAGATTTTATCATTATTATTTATGTGCACAACTTGTTTATAAATATAATTTGTGCTTCCATTACTTTTTATCCCTAATGTGTATGACTCTATCAAAAGTTAATATATTTCGACTCTATGCCACAAGTATATACAAGCTTCAAGCATTATATCATCCCTGAGACAAAAATAATTTATCTCTAAAATAATCATTTATATAGTGATTTATTACTTTCATAGAAACAATACGAATCACTCATCTAGAAATGTATATAGAGAGTCTAAAGATTAGATAATGCTACTTCTGGAGCAACACCAAATGTAACAAATAATCAAATTTGTTAAAGAATACTTAAATACTTGTCTCAAAGTATTCACTTGAGTGAATTTCTTAAAATTTTCCTTGTCTATAATAACATATTTTCCGCTTTGGTACTTCAGGACCTCACGGCTTTAAAATGCGTCCATAAGTAAGGGCTTCAGACCTCGCTTATAAACACAGACACTACTAGTGATGTGTAAACTTCATGTTCACAACACACCCACTTGTACATCAAATTTATGCTCGTATAGTGACTTCTGGCACTTTGTTATAATTTCATATTTTCATTTATGAATTTTGTTTCTTTTCACATTCTTGAGTTAATTAATTTAAACTAATCATCATACATAATTGCATTAACTTGTGGTTTTCTAGGCAGTTTTTAGGTACCGATAGCAATATTTAACTATATTTTGAATATAGTTGAAGTCTATATCATTTTTTCCACTCATGGAGTTTCTTAAGGTATATCATTTACTTGAGTGTTTTATAAAACATTGGAGCTATACTAGTTATATTAACTTATCGAATAATATTCAACAATCAAGTTTATCATATAAATGTAATCATATTATGTACCAAAAATGACCATATTTCTAATAGAGATGTGGCACGTACCTGTAACGTCCAATGCATTTTTCTTAATGCTTACATTAGCCCAAAGTAGCATGAGATAATATTTATAATAATACAAATAAGCATTGGAACGGCAATGAAATGTTAACAAATTGATAAGCATATCCATCATACATGATCAAGTTAATGAAATGCTACTAAGAGCATATTAAACAATAAATTTCAAAACAACTTTAGAAAGTGCTACTACCAGAGCGAGACTTAATTGATATCTCATACGGAGTATAAGATTCAATTTGTGATTATATCAAATATGTATCTAACCAATCATGTTGTATACATTTCTCAAATTACGATTTGAGATAAATTAGTAAGATTACTAAAACCATTTAAATCTCATATTAATAAATTAGTAAGATTACGATTTGACATAAATGTCTAGTTAAGAGCAGCAAAGTTCATATTTCTAAAACTCTTGAGAGAGTTATAATCAACTATAGTCTCAAAGTTATATAGTCTTAAGCATGTCCATTTACTGCAGTTAAATATTGACATTTCAAATCTTTGGGGAGGTGGTGACTGTAAAATATTACTCCATATTGTTTTAGCCTTATCTTCTTTGAATGTTGTATTGGCCATTTTAATGGTATCGCCTAAACTTTTGGCATCTCACTCAGATATACATTCTAAAACGTTTGAATTTTAATGAGCCAACTAAACTTTTTTTTAATGAGCCAACTAAATTTAATTCATGCCATTAATTGAATAAATAATTGCTCTTCCGTAACTGATATTGACCAATAAATGTCATTAAATTCCATAAAACAAAATCGTTATGTAACCAATTTAACTCAAGTGAATATTATCCTGGCATAAAAAAACTCCATAAAACGTACTCACAATACGATTTTATTTTAGAGCAGACGGTTTTTGAAAACAAAAATACCTTGTTAGACATATCGTGTATTGACACATGTAGTAGTAAATAGTACAATTGAACTTAAATGTCATAAAGGATAATAATGATGAATATATATGCTAATTAAATTCAATTTGTCATTAATAGAGCAAGTAAATGCCCTTTTCTAACCGTTATTGGCAATAAATACGTTGGAGTTACATTTTTTAATTGACTAATAAATGCCATTAATAAAACTAATTTAATAAAAAAATAACTTTCCCTCTTATTGTTTGAGCCTATAGTCCACTCCTTTACTATCACATTCACATAATAAGGATCGTGTTCCTAAAGAAAGTCTCTTCTACCTTTGATATGGTCTTACGAATTTTCACAATTAATTCTGAAATCATATAATCCAGTCAAAACGTTTGGTATATATAAACACCAATTCACGAAAAATTGCACAGGATCATGGCAGTTTTCTATCAAAATATTAGGACCGGAATGGCAGCAACGCATAACAAAAGTATAGTTAATGGAAACTCACTAATAACACTTATTCCATATTTGCTCAATTATACTCCGTCTTTGATATGATATGTAATACACCTAATCGAAGTATATTGATTTGATCTTATTAGCTACTAGGTATAGTATATACGGAGTACTACTTATATACGCACCAAAGCAAAGAGATTTTTGTCGTTGAAATAATGCATTTATCAAATGCAAAACCACCTCTTTAATGTTGGAGGTTGAAAACGTATAATATTAATAACAAGAGTAATAAATTTATGCTAATCTTGATGTCCAGCTTGATTCTTCACTGAGTAAAATAATAAAATTGATAATGACTGAATTTGAGCTCTAAATAAGAACTTGAAATCTGCCAGAGTCCAGTGAATCAAAAGTGGTATACTAGAAGATTATATTAAGGGTTATTCAAGTTTGAGAATCACATGAATATTGGAAATTCTTGTCAAATAAGCATGTAAAATTAGATATCGTGGTCAAAAATTCAAGACACAATTTTGATAGATCCTCTTAACGCATGGATTAGCACACAAAATTGGATTAGAGTATCAGTTGTTCAAATATTGCATATAATCTCTCTTGAAAGTTTTATAAGATACCTTTAGATAGAGTATAAAACAAGAGGCTAGAAGAAAAATTCAGGATGCTAGAGGCTGCCGGCTGGCTATGTCTCCAGCACAATTCCGGAGTAAAAAAATGGGCTCCTACTGTGGTAGACATATTATCCACTAGTAATATTCTAACTAGATCTATCTATATTATAATTAACACATACTCATAATAACGGTGTTCGGTTAAATATATACCTGGAAATCCGGACTGAAATTTGTAAGGTTTTAGTTTCATATACATGCGATGCACCGTTGAATACCACAATTGGATAGGGCAAAGATCTTGGGCGGCCTGCTTCAACAATCGATCGAGAAGGCAAGATTTGTCAGCAAGCAAGGGACTTGCGGTGCAGGCCATCAACGCCGTTCCTGGCTACATAGGCTTTGTTCCGCCAGAGGATTTGCGGTCGTGCAACCTAGTGGGCCATGAGCCATGGACGATGACTTCGAGGCCGAAGGAAAGAAGGTTTCTAGGATTAGATCGTGCTAATAACATGTAATGAGCCAACGTCAAAGTCACACATTTCATTCACATGTAGTAACATATATATATACAAGGGAAGGGAGTTAGGTTACAATCATGATATGGGCCATTATATATGGGCTTATGGATTATGGATTAATGGACATCTACATAATTACATAACAGTAATGACATTAATATGACTACTTTAGTCACATTTTTGTCCAAATCAAAAAATGGTCACATTTTAGGAAATCACACTTAATTTAGTAATATTGGAGGAATAACCCCTAAATAAAATGGCAAAATATCTCACGGAAACTAAGAGCTTTTTGTTGATGATATTTTTCAACTTGGTCCAAAAAGGTGGAATCTCCCACCCTAGGAGCCCCCCATACCCCGACCCGATAGGATTTTTGGAAGGATGTTAATCACGGTGACTCAGTTGGCCCAATGATGGTAGGCCTTTTTCTCGTGCGCACCAGAGACCCAACTTTATTTCAGATTCTGTGACCTCCACACGGCTGCTGCGCGTTTCGAACCTTGGTCACTTGGTCCAAATTTCCACCACTGAACCAACTGAGTTACCCGTGCGGGTGATATTTTTCAACTTAGCAGCATTATCAGTTAACTTTTTCTAACTTTTGATTTGATTTTATATAATACGAGTATTTTCAGTACAATCGTCTCATTTAATTAGAATTTCATAAACTTTCGACAGAAAACAACTGGTTTAAAAATAATAGGGAGGACTGATTAGTGTCGTGAGTAATAATTACCAAGTCGCAGTTCATTAAGAGCAGGGCATGACAGATATGATTTGTTACGCGCAATACTGGCGCGTGATATGCACTTAAACAGCTCTGGCCTCGGAGTGACTCGAAGCGGATGTATATGACTTTCAGTGGACTTGTCATCTCTATCTTGCTTCTCATTTGTTACAGTGGAAAAGTTTCACAACAGTCTCTTCCCAACTTTTTACATTTTGGCTTTTTCAACTTTTCCTTCCATCCAGCTATTGTCGGGGTCCGAGCGTTTCTCACCTTCTATCTAGATTATACTCCTAAACCACGTGTTAATATGGCCGCTAATCACCTCTTGCTAAGCCTCCCCTTATAAAATCTCAGCTTTATGCCTGCTTATCCTCATCATTTCCTCATAATTCACCAGCAGCTAGGTATCTTCATTCTTCTGTTGCTTTTGAGCAGTATTGAGAGAAGAATGTAAATATAGGTACTACTCCCTGCTTTCCTTTTTTAATAAATTATTTTTTGTTTTCTGTTATTTCTTTCTTCTCTACACAAACTTAAAACACAGGGTTTTTATACAGTATTACACTTCTTCGTTTCTGCTTCTAAGTACAAGAAATGTGACCCCTCACACATTGTGGGGACTATGCCTTTTTAAAAAAGAAAGAAAATAACTTTTGTTTATTTTTTCATATCCGTATTGGTTGTGCAGATGTTTGCCTACCCAAGAGCAGTAGATTGAGGATGAAGTGGTATTCTGGATCCATGTGTGGAAAGAGATCTGCTATGGTCTGCTTGATTCTGAAGATCTTCTTAGTTTATCTCTTGATTTTGGCTGTTCAATTTTCTTATGGGGCTAACCCAGGAGATGGTAAGGCTCAAATGCTGATAATTTATGGATGTCTTTATTTCTTAGCTATTAAGGAAATCCAGTACTGTCTCCTTTTTAATGTTTATCTATCTATCTATCGCCTAAGCTTAATTTGGTTTACTGTTATTATCACTATATATAACTCACTATGTTTGCTGTTATTATTATTGCTATTAATGTCTACCGTTGTTTGTCCTCTTAGAGCATCCACATTGATATACTTGAATAAACGGATTTTTAATGACATGTAGATTGACACGTAGATTTTTTCAAAATAATCTCATACCTTCAAAATTATATCATTCATCATCTCAAAATAACCGGATCTATTGTGGGTCCTGCACTTAGTAATTAATAATTTAATACTACCTTCACAATAATCTTGAGATAATCTGGATTCATATTTCAATCCCGGATTATTTTGTCAAATAATCTCACTAAATAATCTTCATCACCCAATCATTCCCCAGAATAATCCGCCACATCAACAACTTAATCCTCAAATAATCTTATGGATGGGGATGCCCTTATATTCCGTTAACAGTTTTTTTTAATAGCATATTTTGGGCAAGCCACTCAATTCAGTTATATGAGTTTAAGCAATTGATCCACCTGTTCTTGACGACCTGTAGTTGAATTTCTCATGCAATTAATTTCCTCACAGTACCCTCACAGTATTAAGCAGTTGAATTTTCTCATGAGCTTAATTTTTTATCAGATTTTTAATCTCTTCACCCTCTCCGCAGTTTTTCCCAAGTCAGATCAATTCTGCATCATAGAACATTTTTATACATTCCTTGGCATCCGAAAGTATCACTATTACTCCATTAGTCTTTATAATCCTCCAGATGCTAGAGTTTATTTAAGTTGCATAAGGCGGTGATGGTTATCTTATACTTCGTATTTTGCTACTCTCTCTAATCACATCCAGTATTTCAATTTCTTGAAGGATTAAGGAATAGTTTAAGGTCTTATAGGTGAGTTTGTATCTGTGTGCTTTTTTAAGTTTTAGTTGGATCAAGTTACTCATTTGATATAGTGATCTGAAATGAAAGTTTGTAGTTTCTATCCTAAAAGATAACCTAATACATGAGTTTAAATCATTATATTGGCCTGGTCGAATACTTAACAATTTCTTTTTTAATATGGTGTAGTTGCTGCAATTATGACTTTGTATACTGCTTGGGGGTCTCCTCCTCTTCCTGGATGGGGTGTTGATCAAGACCCTTGCAATGGGAAATGGCAAGGTGTCATATGCGAGGATACAAATATAGCTTCAATGTGAGATCATTCCTATTACTATAATTTTTTTCAATAGATATATTAAATTGATAAGCTAGTTATTCTTGTTTTGCAGTACGATCAATAGTGCAAATTTGAGAGGTGAATTAGGGGATAAATTAGGAGCATTTTCTTCTATCAAAACGATGTAAGCAAGAAACCAATCTTGTTCCTTTGCTAATCTTATTTCCTTGTCTTTGTAAATGTGAATATCTCAATTGGTTCCTTTGCTAGTCTAATACGGAGTAACAAGTATGGAATGTTATATGGCAGTGATCTGAGCAATAATTTGATTGGAGGCTCAATTCCATCATCTCTACCGGTTACCTTGCAAAACCTGTAAGTACCATCACTTTCTTTGAAAGGGTCATTTGGGGTCACAGAAAGAATGTAAAATTAGATTATGTAAAAGGGTTGCTTGCTGAGCCACCCATACCGGAAAAGTATAAAAAAACAAACTTCAATATTAGATATTGGCTACTTAGCTATTCAAGTTGACTTTTAGGATAGAACCCCGAGTCTCAATATGATATTAGAGCTATTGCAGCTCAAATTTCTTGATTGGTTTGCTCAAATGAGCCAACATGACATGTTAAGCAACACATAAAAATATAAATATACAAACTTACATACAGTATAAGACATTGGGATACTCCTCCTATAAGGTTGTGTTTAAAGATGTCAAAAAAACTTGACCCGCAATGACCCGCCCTGGCCCGAGACATTTGGGGCGGGTCCGCCCCGCCCCGTCTTGCAAATGGGGCGGGTCCGCCCCGCCCCGCCTGTACAATGGGGCGGGTCCAGGTATTAGAATTGACCCGTGCCGCCCTAACCCGCCCCGACCCGACCCGCTGAATATATAAGTATACATACTTTTTCTTAAATTATAGTACTACAAATATACTTTAACATACATATGTGTATATACAATAAATCATAAATTCTTTGATCTTATAATATATGAATACGGAGTATATATTATAATGAGATGCACGATGGATTATCAATGTCTTCTTTATATATAGAATTTTAATACATATATTCAATTATTAATATAACTAATAAGATTAACTATTCAAGTTTGAGTAATTTTTCCTTAATTTTTGAAATTTTTAGCGTATCATGGATTTGATTTAATATATTGATTTTTAATTATTATTTAGAGATAAACATTATGTAGATTCAATTGGTAACAACTTCCCACAAAAAAATACATACTAGCTAATTAGGTTACGGCGGGGCGGGTCATGGGTCAACAAATTTGGACCCATGCAGGTCACGGGGCGGGGCGGACCCGCCCCGCCAAGTCACGGGGCGGGTCCGGGTCTTGCAATACCCGCCCCGCCCCGACCCATTGCCATACCTAGTACTTGTGTTTGGTGCATGATATTACTTATGTTGTCAGATTGTTATCCACAAAGACCGTATATTACCAAGGAAATCTTACCATACTTATGAAACCCAAGGAACATTACCTTATTTTATGACATGGATTACCCTGGTAATATGAAACCCTGAAAAAAAAAACAAGTTAGTCTAAAAAACAAGAACCAAACACGCCCACAATATATAAGTAAGATGAAGAAGAGAGGAGTGCATATGATGTACTTTGCTTTTGGCAGTTTCCTTTCAGATAACCAGTTTACTGGAAGTATTCCCGAATCTTTGTCTTCCCTGACTCAATTATCAGCCATGTAAGATTTTCTTCCTTTGGGTGTTGAATAATTTTCTAATTACTAAAATCTACATATTGCTTAGCAATAACTTTGAAATTTGTATTAATGTGTTCCAGGTCTCTGAATGAGAACCTTTTGACTGGAGATATTCCTGATGCCTTTCAAGGACTTACTGCCTTGGTCAATTTGTACAGTACCACTACATTTTTTTCAAGACATTTTTTTTCTTCAACCCAAATGAAGGATTTTAATTCTTAGAAATTGACTAACTGGCTAATTACAAACAGAGATTTATCTACTAACAACTTAAGTGGGAGATTGCCGCCATCACTAGGAAACACATCTGCATTGACAACTCTGTGAGTTATTCAACTTTGCAGATCATCCAGTATTACTTATTGGATGTGTGTATATTGATAAAGCTAAACCTCTTCTTGAATCTTGATCACCAGTCATTTGCAGAACAATCAACTTTCTGGTTCTCTTGATGTATTGCAAGATCTCCCCCTCAGAGATTTGTATGTACTCCTTTGAACTTCATTTTTATCAGGCAAGATTTTTATTTTGTGACTTATATGGTATAGTACCAAGTACTAACTACCCACCTCCCCTTTTCAGAAATATAGAAAATAACCAGTTTTCTGGCCCAATACCACAGCAACTCATGTCAATTCCAAATTTCAAGTAAGTGGACCCACTCCTACAATCCAATTAGCCAAATATTATATGAGAAGCTCTTCGAGTTAGACAACCATAAAAAGTTTGATAATTTTGGTGTAGTTAGTAAGGTGGAACCATTCAGAGTAGTTGATATTCTAGGACTAGTTTGTTGGTGCAAAACGAAAAATATTTTATTACTGAGCAAAAGTGGATGGGCTAAATAAATATCTAGTCGTAGTTCCGTTTGCTTGGTCAGGGATGTATATAAATTCTTGAAGGGGCCGCCTGGTTCCTGGATTAAATCTGGAATAGGCCAATGCCGCCAATCCCCTGCTACCCCTCCCCCCGTTTTTGGCAAAAAATGAAGTGAATCATGCACCACTGTCAAACTAACTGAGTAAGACTAAATGTGGCAATGTCAATCTAGTCAAGGACTAGAGTTGGAATTAACCCTTCACACACTTATAAGTCGTTGCGAATAACTTAGTCCTTACTCCTTGGTCATATTACTCAATCCCTACTTCAAGAATCCATGTCAAATCTTCAATCTTTAATTTGACGTTAACTAACCAAACTTTATTTCCGAGACTTTCATTAGTCTAACCCCTTCATTATTTGTGAAATACAAACATTGAATCTCTATATGGATTTCAGTAGAAATCAGTATTGGGTTGGATCACTCAACTGAGACCTAAAGATCATGAGCCAAACCACACTAAAAAAATTGAAGCCAATTTATTGGCTCATCCAACCAAAGGTCTTATTAAACCCATCACTTTCTTCTTCCTTTAATAGGATTCAGTTGTTCCTGTTTTAATATGAAGTCCTTACTCCTAACACACATAAAATCACTGTGAATAACTTAGTCCTTACTCCTTAGCCATACCCCTACTTTAAGAATCCATGCCAATTCTTTACTGTGACATTAACTAACCAAACTTTATCTCGAACTCTGTTGTCTTACCCGACTGGGTTTTACTCCAACTTGACTGGGTTTCGTACCAGCACCTATATTCATGATTCTTCTTGTCTTCTTTCGGTATCTATAATACTCCCTTACATCCCTTTCGGTAATTACAACAAATTTACACACAAGAAATACAAATTACACACTACTAATAGAATCTAATGAGTACATTATAAATTAAACTAAATAAGTAAAAATGACAAACAAACAATACTAAAATAACAAACTTATGCACTAAGAAACAGTGCATATCATTGTCCAATAGTCCAACCCCTTCATTATTTGTGAAAGACAAACAATCTAATCTCTATATGGATTTTTAGTAGAAATCAGTACCAGTATTGGGTTGGATCACTCAACTGAGTCCTAAGCCACTTGGGTCAAACCACAATAAAAAATTGAAGCCAATTTTTTGGCTCGTCCAATCCAAGGTCTTATTAAGTATTAACCCATCGTTTTCTTCTTCCTTTAATAGGATTCAGTTACTCCTGTTTTAACATGAAGTCTAATGACGGTCAGTTAGGTGTAAACTGCTGTAAATAATTCTATATATTAAGAAATTTTAATTTTAATTTTATTGACATTTATCTAAAAATATCTGTATAAACTCAAGTATCCTTTGCATTCTGAGTTTTGTAAATTTGTAGCATATGTCTATTAGTTTCTAATACGTAATCTAAATAGGTCATGTGTGTGTATCATGTATGTATACATAATATTGAGAAGCAATGGTAGAATTTGGATTTTTGCATTTTTGTAGTTGGTCTAAAGTACTTTAACTTGCAGGAAGGATGGAAATCCTTTCAACAGCAGCAGTGTTCCTCTACTTCCACCACCCTCCACGACACCTCCTCCAGTACCACCATTCTTTTCTAGGGGCCCCACTTCTGCACGCCCCCCACCGAAGTCTGAAAGCAAACCTCCAAAACAGGCTGATGGACCATCAGCATCGGGCCAATCAAATTCCAATAGGAGCAAAAAGTCATCCAGGAAAAGGGTAGTTTTGATATCTATTGCATCAGTGTTGTCCTTCATAATGCTGATATTAGCTATACTGCTTTGTTTACCGAAGCGCCAGAGGCAAAGACCAGTGACTCAAAGAATTCCCAAACGGCATGAAATAGCTCCATATACAGGACCTAGAGAGAGAACCTTGGAGAGTGGCTCCTTGGAGCAACCTGGCTCTGATATAGAGAAAGGTATTGCAGTACAAGTGTTACATTATGATTTTTATTATTCACATCTTTGCTTCTTTTAGGTCTTTGTTTGCTTCCAAGATTTCGGAGGAGGGGGGATTAGTTTTTCTATTTCGAGTTTATTCCTTTTAGTTAGTCTTAACTCTTAAATTTGGGTCAATTTACCCAAAGTGATTCTCAAGAGAAGAAGTTTATTTATTGGACGTTTACCCCCTAGGGTCATAGTGAGTCATAGTTATGTATTAGATTCAAATCTAATTAAAGTCCAATGTGAGACACCCCTGAGCCAGTTGACTAAACCGGGGACAATCTTGGGGAGTGGGGGGTGGATGAATAGGTCATACCTTAAATTATGGCATTCCAAATAAAAAACAACCACCATTGGACCATGCTTTGATTCCATACTCCCTCCGTCCCTAAATAAAAGTCCCTCTTTCCTTTTCGAGCCGTCCCTAAATAAAAGTCCCCTTTCCTTTTTGGCAAACGAAACAGTGCAAAACAGTGCCAAACAGTGCCGCACAAACCCACTTTCTTAAATTGTGTGTAAAAGGAATGGGAGCTTTTATATAGGGACGGGGGGAGTATTAAATTTGGGCCTAACCCACTCGAAAAGCACCACAAAGGGATATGTGAACTTTACCTCATACTTATTACTCTCTGTATCAAAATAACTGTCCAAGTTTCCTTTTTGGGATGTATCAATTAATTGTCCCATTTCCCTTTTTGGAAAGAAGTCCACCCTAAAAGTAGCTACAGTACTGCTATAGTACTGCCACAGTACCAAAATTTTCTTACTTTTTATAATGTCTACAGTAATTATCTTAAACTACGTGAAAAAGAAATTGGGACAAATAATATGATACGGAGGGAGTATATTCGAACGCAATATGGTAAACATCTGATGTCGGACACTTAAGTTCATCTTTGATCAGAAAATATCTATATCTTTAGTCATACAATTTCTCCTATTCACTTCTTTCCAACCATTTAATGTTAAGAAAAACCACCCACCCCTTTCTTTCCCGTATAATAGGGTTTAATGGCATTCTCAATTTTGTTTCACTTTCAGCAGCTCCTCCAACAGTAAGGCCAAAAGAGGAGGAACGTTCAAGAAGGACAGCAATTATAGAAACCCTTAGGGCTTTGCCCAAGGACAACAATGAGATTAATCCAAGCAGATTTGATATTGATTTGATGATACCGCCACAGCCGCCGCCACCTCCGCCTGTAGAAGAGAGGGTTGTTGTTCTACCAATCCCACCTGCTGAAGAAGCTGTACAGAAGCGCTCGAACAGGCCACTACCTCCTACCTCTGCAAAGACATACACAATAGCTTCTCTTCAGCAATATACTAACAGCTTTTCTCCAGATAACCTTATTGGAACTGGAACTCTAGGAGATGTTTATAAGGGAGAACTCCCTGGTGGCAAGGTACATACATATGGCTTCTCGCTTTATGACAATTTCCTTGTGAAGGCTATCTACTCCCTCCGTCCCGCTAAGATTGTCCCATTTTTCCTTTTCGGGAAATCCCACTAAGATTGTATCATACCAAATTTGGTAAAGTTTGTGTGGCTCTAAATCATTCTTACTTTATTCTTACTTTATCAATTCAATATCAACCACATAAACTCACTTTTCTTAATAACCGTGTCATCAACTAATGTCCCAATATTAGTGGGACGGAGGTAGTATTAATTTACTGTCTTTTGTTTTCATTCTGATTTTTTGAGTGATAATTGTTTTTGATATTGTTTGAGAGGCCTAACCCTGATTGTTTTCGTCACTGTTGGTTGTGTTTGTAGTAAAAACATTTCAACACATTTCCATTTTATAATATTTTGTATGTAAGTGGAAAATATCTCTGGTGATCACCGCTTTGAATTTCATTTCATTAATCCTTCGCAAGAATTCTATTAAAAGAAGGGAATCTGGCGTAATAGTTTTTCACAATTTTTTTGCATGGATTTAGTTAGTGTTAACTAATGTAGACAAGTAGTTGACACTAAAAATTTATGCCACCGACCCTACTATAGTTGGGATTAGGGTGAAAATGATGATGATAAGTGTTATGCATATTAAAAAATTAGTTTTTAAGAAATATTCTGTCAACAATAGAAATTTGCAGATCTTGTCATGCAAAGATCTAGGAAATCCCTATTTTTCTCTTCTTCTTCTTCTTCTTCTTCTGTGGATGATATTGTTTCTCATTTGAACACATCAACTACACATTTTTCACTTTCTAAAAACCGTGTCAAGTCAAAACATACTGAAGGAGTATGCTTTTTCTCCCAGCGACCAAGTCAAGTAACTTACTCTCAAAGAGCTATGCCTTTCTCTTTCCTTCACCCATTCTAGATCCCATTATGTCCGGGTATTTTTAACTGCATCACTTTCTTCTGACACATCCCCTTTTTATTTTCGGCTCTGTAGTTTCTTGCTGTCAAGAAACTGGACAAAAGGGTTTGCAGCCAACCTGAGGATGAGTTTTTTGACCTAGTAAACAATATTGATAGGATTCGGCATGCTAATGTTGTGGAGCTCATGGGATACTGTGCAGAGCATGGTCAAAGGCTCCTTGTTTATGAATATTGCAGTAACGGGACATTGCAGGATGCATTGCACTCTGATGATGAGTTCGAAAAGGATTTTTCATGGAATGTGCGCATTAGGATGGCTCTTGGAGCTGCAAGAGCATTGGAGTAAGTTACAACCACTAGAAGTTTTGAATTCAAAATGCTCTGTTTTCCTGATGAGAGTATATTTATCTGTTATTAGTAGGAATGCAATTGTATATTACTCCCTATGCCCCATTTTGTCTGTTTCAAAATTATGAACACTTTCATAATTTGAACTAGTAGCTTTCCCACTTTATCCTCTTTTATCTCTCATTTTTCTTTTCACTAATTGTGAACCCAAGTGTATGGAGTAGTACTAAAGAAGACTCACAATAACAAAATACAATTAAATGCAAAGGGTATTGGGTTAACACCTTTCTTTTTATATGCCATAGGTATCTGCATGAGGTATGTGATCCCCCAATCGTACACAGAAACTTCAAGTCTGCAAATGTTCTCCTGGATGACGAGCTGGCTGTTTACGTGTCTGATTGTGGTTTGGCTCCATTGATATCATCAGGAGTTGTCAGTCAGGTAAGTTCTTATCCTAATTCAGCAAAGAAGAAATTCTTGTTGAAATATCATCAGGTTTGAGAATTTTGGACATGTCAAAACTGATTGGTAAACATCAAGGTTTAAAAAATTTGACAAGTCATAATTGCTAGATTGTGTTATACTATAAAATCCTTCAATTTAATCTAAAACAAACATTTACTAAAGATGCATTGCCATCACACATTATTCCAAAGATACATTGCCATCACCTTTTTGGAAGTGTCCAGCTCATATTTTGATGGTTAGTGTACAATATAATGGGATCATTTATGCTACCCTAGTATCCCTTCACTTAATATTATGGATTTGAGTTTACTGTGTTTACTGTATTGTGTTGTGATAATATTACATACTATGTATCATATTTTTATAGTTATTTGCTAGGTTGCATTTGTCTGGGATTGACCAATGTATTATAATACTCCGTATTTGCTAGTTATATCTTTTGTGATCAATAAGAGCAAGACCCCTCCAATGATTCGTTTTCCTAATAATAGGAAAAGACTTGCTTCTTATTGATCACAAAAGAGATATATACTCGATGCCAGATTGCCAGTCCCAGAAATATACAGAACTAGTAGAATTGTAGAAATAAGGAACATATGCAAATAAGGAAACAGATATAAGTAGTAATAATATGAGACAACATAAAATGTAGTAATTATAGTATTCCAATGTAACTTCCAAGTTGCTGAAAACTGCATATGTAACACACAAAATTTTCAGTTGTCGGGACAACTTCTTACAACATATGGTTATGGTGCACCGGAATTTGAGTCTGGGATATATACTCTAAAGAGTGATGTTTATAGTTTCGGGGTGGTGATGTTGGAACTCTTAACAGGCAGAATGTCATATGACAGGTAATACTACTATAAAACCATCTATCATTTCACGAGTTTTGCCCTTTTTCGTTCCAACGTTGCATCACCAGCTATTTAAAGGAATCATATTTTTTAGGTCACGAGCTCGTGGTGAGCAATTCTTGGTCAGATGGGCTATACCTAAGCTCCACGATATTGATGCCTTGGCAAAGATGGTCGACCCAGCTCTTCATGGAAAGTACCCCGTAAAATCATTATCCCACTTTGCTGACATTATTTCCCGATGTGTTCAGGTACTTTGTGATTTTCAGGCTCTGTTTCGTAGCATTGTCCTGCTTATCCTTCATAGAAAAAATTCCACTTTTGATCCCACGATTATTTGGTCATCCCATTGTTTGGTCCCTAACTTTCATATTTACACTTGGTCTCACAACTATATATTTTTTGTCACTTACCGTCATTCTGACTACTTATCTAGCCAATTTCCGCAGATTTTGGTTGACTTGCGCTAAACCAGTGGCCAGGACCAAAAGTGGCAAAAATGTAATCATGCACCAAAAGTGGCAAAAATGTAGTCATGCACCAAAAGATGGACAAATGATATAATGAAAAAATGAGAATGGTGCATCTCCAATGGGAGGGTAGATTAGGGTAGATTGTAGTGATGTGGCATAGGAGAGAGATAGAATGAATATTTTAATTTAATATAGATGAAGTGGTGTGTAGGGAAAAATGAAAAAGAGGAGAGAGATAGAGATAAAAAATAGATCTAGGTCTATGACAAGGTCCATTTACGGGATTCAAGAAGGAAAAATTGATGAAAAGTGAGTTAAAAGTGAGTTAAAAAATGAAAATATATTAGAAAACATGTGGGTCCTATACATAAAAATTGTGAGATAAAAAATGGGACCCATGTGTAAGGGCGTGTAAGAGACCACACCCCTTCATTGGAGATGCTCTAAAAGCCCTGGGACTAAAAATTAGCATAAATATTTTTTATCAAATGGCCATCATATTTGTAGTATGATCTGTTTTGTCTTTTGCCTAATTGACACGTTTGCTGTCTACATGGTCTCCTTTTTCTTTCTTTACATGGCAGCCTGAGCCGGAGTTCAGGCCACAAATGTCACAAGTTGTGCAAGACATCATAGAAATGATAAGGAGGGAATCTGACCAAGAGATTTGATGATGAGCTAGTACATTAAGTAGTGCCACATTGGAAAATTAAGGACAATTAAAATTGAAAAATCAAGAATGGATTTTGAACTTGTTGGTAAGCCAACTACTACTGTGTAACCAAAACGAAAATGGTGCAGACCAGAAGCATTTCACAAACAAGGTCTTGTGTTGATATACCAACCCAATCCAAGTATCTACCTTTTTGTTTTTCTTTGTTGCACCTATCCCATGGTGTAGTTTTCTTCCCCTTGTAACTTGAAAATGTATCATTCTAGTATTCATTTAGGCAACGTGTTGTCCATGATGCATAAGCTCGCTAACCTTTTGGTTTAACAGGCGGCATTTTCTATTAGTTACCCTGTATCTACTGGTTAGTGAAATTTTGAAGTTGTATTTGTATTAAAGCTTCAATAAAGTTCTACTGAGAATGTTTTGTGTCCCTTTCTTTTAAAAGAAGAATGCTTGTTTTTAAAGAATAGAGGTCTAGGGGCAGCTCCGGTACAAACTATGTTTATTGTGTAAAACTATGTATAATGCATCTTTACACTATGTTTATTAGTTTTATTACCAAAATTCCATCATGTGTTTTCAGGCTTTCAGCCTTTAGATTTATTCAACAAATGACTTAGATGAGTTCTTAGTTTATAAATCAAGAGAAATTTATTTTTAATGTCACATCTAATACGCTAATGTAGTAATGTCTCATTAGTGAATGTGTATAAAGATGAGTTGTACGGTTTTGTGTGTAGGGGTGGACCGGTTCGGGCCCGGCCGGGCCTCGGTTCAAGAAGGGGAGGCCCGGAACCGGCCCGGGTAACCCCCGGGTCCGGGCCGGGCCTCGGTTCTATTTTTTTTTTTGGCTTTTCCTAGTTAACCCCCAACCCTCCCCCTCACTCCAAACCAACCCTAACCACCTCAAATGGTCCAAAATACCCAGCCCAATCCAAAACTTAAAAAAAATTCAAAAAAAAAAAAAAATTGGCCCGGCTCGAGCCCGAACCGCCATCCCACCGGGCCGGTTGGCCCGAACCGGGTCCGGAACCGGTTCACCGGTCCGGGCCGGTCCGGTTCTGGGCCGGTTGGCCCGGCCCGAGTCCACCCCTATTTGTGTGTCCAATATTGACCTGAAAGTCTGAAACCCCTCTACTCGTTGGATTGTCCCGCTGTGCAAATATTGGGTAATTCAAACTTTAAAGTATAATAAAATACCTCTTCAGTCTCAAATTGATAAAGAATTGGTAGTTTTTAAGATTGATGGATGATAATTTAATTCATCTATATAAATAGTTAAATCAATTTTCATGTACATAGTAAAAAATTATATTGAAAGTGATATGAAGTAGCAAAATGTATGTTAGAATATGATAAAATTGACATTCTTAAAAAGAAAATAAAACTTAATTATCTTGATCAAGAAAAGTAAACATGAAATTGTGACCAAGGAAGTATGTCATCTTTACATATAAACTTAAGTTATACTTGGTTTTATGATGTCATAAGGATCAAATTATAAAATTATATTCTCACTTTGACTTGACATACTTATTCAGGAGCACTATTAAAAATGAAATATATGGTTGAGAATTGAGTTATAAATTAGAAAGAATGACATCAATATTACTCCTCAACTTCTCTTGGACAAAAATATGATCAGTTTTAAAAATTCCACAAAAGTGACCTAGTGACCCAGAACAATTCATCCGCGCCCCTTTCTCTCCTGCGTATATCTTCCCAACGAACACCCTCTGCGTATTTCTTCCCTTCTTCGCAGAGCTTCCTTCCTTCTTCTGCTAACCCGTCGGCCTCGCCTCAGTCTCTCCTTCGCCTCACCTCGCCGCGCCTCAGACTCGCCGCACGGTTTGCCTCGCCAAATCACTTGTTCCTCCTCCAATCCGGCGCTACTCTTCGCGCATCCATGGTTCCAGTCAACTGCGACTACCAAGCCATCATACTTGATTCCTTTTTCTCCTTTCTGTTGGATTTTTAAATCGATTTTGGGGGGTTTATTTTCAGATATGAGTTCCAAATCGAAATTTGGCTATGGCAAGGTCAGAAGGTAATGTGCGGCGTTGTTTGGTGGGGCTGGGGTGCGTCATTGCTGGGCGGGGACTGGGGGAGGGTGTTGTGGGGTTGCGGAGATGAGATGGTGAAGCAGGGGATCGGGACAGAGGCTTGGGGAGGTGGCTGGGGGATCAGGGGTGGTTGAGGTTAATGAGGGGTCTTGGGAGGTGATCGGGGGCTGGGGGTTCTGGCGAGGGGTGCGATGGTGGTGGGGGCCATGGAGGGGTTGGGGTGGGGTTGGGGCATAAAGGAGCCGGTGGAGCAGGGGGCTGGGACTGTTGTAGTAGTTGTTGTTGGCGGTGTGGCGCCGGATAAGGAATCGATAAATTTTTTGTCGGTCATAGTGACAGCGGTGGTTGTAGCCGGAGTAACTTTTGGTGGGTAGCGTCACTAAAAACCGATGTCACTGGGCAGTGACGGTGTCATTGTTGTGTCACTATGGTCGTTGTCACTATGGCCGATGACGGTCTCCGATGACGGCGGTCACCTGTGGGAGGTGGTGGGAAGAGGTGGTGGATGTCACTGTTTCTCGTGTCACTGTAACGTGTCACAGTAGCAGTAGGTATATAAGTAAGCTTGTCACTTATGGGTCACATTTCTGGAATTTAAAAAAAGGTCACTTTTTTGTCAATTGCCCTTTTATTAGTAATATTCAAGGCAAAACCCCTATAAATTAATATGGTTAAATAATGTGCTTTATTGTTAGTTCATTCATTTAAAAAATCTATATGATTTCAATTTTCATTTTTCATATAAAGTCGAATCTTAAAATTAAAATGGGAGACATGATGAGATTAAAAAAACGTATTTGTATAATGACGACGCTAAACTACTTAAATCATTTTGTGCCTCAAAATAAAATCAATACTAATATAGTGTAATAAAGTTCGTATCCACGTGGAAAAGAATATTTCTCTTTTGTAAATTTGTAACCAAAGGGGATTTTAAGATTGTTTTGCCAAAAAAACTTAAGAATATTTAAACAATAAGATGAATGATTTATGTGAATTAATTCAATAGAGATGAAAACTTGATTTTGCTAATTTTCACTTAGTGAAATTTTCGTCGATGCCGGTTATATATATTTAACTATCTCCTTTCGAATACTCAGTCGTGAAATATTTCCAATTCATTAATGGTAGTTATTAATAACGAGACACGTTCATTAATAAAACTTACTATCTAGTCAATATAGAACATGCACCTTATATTGATCTGATAGTAGCAGTAACGCTTTAGATGAAATTAACTGAGATTAACAACCTCAACACAAATAGTTTATTGCTTTTATCAATACAAATAATCATCTTTAAATTATATACCATGAGACGTATGCATTATCAATCTAAGGTTACTACCGTTGAAAATATCGAGCGAATAACAAGTGCATCCATTGATCGATTCTAGTAATAATTAATATGAAAATAAAACTAATTAATCATTTAAATAACGCTCAAATATTAATATGAAATATAAACAGTAAAGAAGAAAGAACTAAATAGGACTCAAACATTTTAACTCACGGGTAGGACTAATTTTTAGGTAAAAGGACAAATTTATCCTAAAAATGTATCTCCGCTTTTTGCAAGTCTTCGAGACTGCATCGAGACTTCATCCTTCGATCTCAGATTGAATTAAAGGGGGTGTATTGAATATGGATTGTGGTAAACTTTTTTTAATCCATGGACTTTTAAAAAAGTCAACCGACTTTTAAATCCATAGACTTTTTTATTAATGAATTCTATTGACTTTTAAATCCATGGATAAGTTTATAGATTTTCAAAAGTTCATAGACTTTTAAATTCGGACCACCACTGCTGGCACGTTGGAATTTTTACCTAGATCGCCACTACCGACTTGCCTGTCCGCCTGCCTCTTCATCGGAGTTCACCACCGTCCTCGTCGGACTGATCCACCACCAATAAAATGACTTTGATTATGCAAGGGAAATAGGGGGAATTAATTATTATATTAATTAATTAGATTAAGGGTAGAACTGTAATATTTGGTCCTATTTAAGGAAAATCAAACATATGATCATACTTTAGGAAAATGATATGTTTTAGTCTTACCGTGAGTATTCCTCTATATAATATGATAAGAAACAATTTAATAAATAAATGAAACAAATGTAATTTGTTGGTAGAAAATATGTTGAGTAGAAAATTCGGCAGCAATTCAGTACAGTAAAAGTGACTTATCCAATACAAAAGGAGGGGCGGCCTATTTATAGGCGCTTACAAGAGGTTTGTCAAATACTAATGGGCTTGGCCCAATTAAACAACTAAAACAAGAAGCCTGATCCAAGGCCAATGGGCTGGTCGGGCCCAGAGTTAAACCAATCAATCCAAGGACCATATTATCTAGCCGGACCGTGTGCTGGGCCTGGTTCGCACCCGAGCCCAGGCATATTGGGTCGATAGTATTGGACCTGGCCCATTATCCCAACACGAGTCCCCCACTCCCCTAGTCGAGTAGCAGACTCGGCTAGAAGGGAGTAGTCAAGTTGATCAACGATCGGTTCGTCTATCGGATCGGCTGGCTAGTCGCACCTCCATTGTAGCAGTCTGGGGTGCTCGTCAACGTAATCGTTGGCCCATAGGGGGGCCATTCTTTGCGGGCCTTGATCGGCCCCTTTGCCTTGATCGGCCCGACGGTATGCAATGTTTCCCATCAGCTTCAATAATTTGGGCCTGAAATTCCAAAATACGAGCCTTGTTTTTCTGTAGCCGTATATTGACCATGCGACGGATATACATGGGCTTTAGCCGCACACCCGACCAATAAAGAACCCCGCAGCCAGGGTTGGAATCTCGTCCAAGCCTTCACGTTCTGTCACAGAAACCCCAGGCCAGCTTCCTAAAATAACCCGGAGCTATTCCAATTAATAATTTCCTTCCTTTTTTTTTCTTTCCATATTCTTTTAATTTCCTTGAATCCGAGTGTGGCCTAGCCTTAACACCCTCGATCATCCACGCGCAATTCAGCCATGCAGGTCCCCTCAGCTTCAGCCGTTCCAGCCGCAGCCACGACATCGCCGCGTCGCTCCATCCCCAGCCCGCGAAGGAAACGCAGCGGCTCCCCTTCTCCGTCGCGCCGGAGGGAGGGTCATTCACGACGTTGTTCGCCGTCGCGATCTCGTAGCCCAGGCGGTCGGAAAAAACCCAGCGATTCACAGTCATCATCGCCGCCAGTTCCAAGCCTACGCACAGGTTCTCAATACAGTTCACGACACGGAGCTCATCATAGTGCCCTCTCCACCCGTGAACGTCGTTCGTCTGTCAAACAGTCCCAGCAACCTCCAGCGGGTCAAATATCATCTGCGCGAGACCCCCCGGGCGAGGCGGACGCACTGCCACAGTCTGGGAACTTGGTTGCACGAGCCCATCGTGGCGAGGTGGGGAAAGAGTCCGTGCGTGGAGGCTCGGTTAAACAAATTCAAGCCAGCGGGGCGAATGCAACGTCTCAACCCGAATTCGGGGCATCAGGGAAAAATCAAGGGGTCTCCGATAATTT